TCTTATTCTTTATAAAATGGAAATTGAAATTTCGATTGCAAGATTTGATCAGAACAAGCATACAAACTAACATAAAACTAAAAAGTAGAAAATAACATGTATAAAAAAAATTTTTAAAGACCACGTTTTAAAACGACTATACGCTTCCGCTATCAAAACAACTGTATCAAAGTGTAGTGGTAGTGGAGTGAAACGACTATATTGTATGGACTTTATAAATTTTTGTTTGAACCGCTGAAATAAATAAACCATAAGCTAAATTTATAAGTACTTAGAAAAGTTGTGTTGAAAAAATAAGTACTTTTTTTCGCTTCGAGTCACCGACATGTGGAACAGCCTCCCTGATGGCATCATTGACGTTCCGAGTATGAACGCATTAAAGAACAGACTAGACGAAGCTATGCGGGAGCATATGTTCAGTCTTAAAATGCTTAGCACCATACGGACCAGGCAATAAGTCCAGCAGCTATCTCAATCAATCGTCAGCTATGGAAAGATCGGGTTCCAATGGCCGGATCCCTTGAGAATCAAGTCACGAAAAGTACAGGAATCGGCAACAGGCCATGGGCCTATTTCTTCAGTGCCGACACTTCTATTCCATTCTTAGGACCTAACTTCATAGGTTTCTCTGCACTCCAGCGCTCTTGCCTACGAAAAGATGGTTTGCCAGAGCGGGCCCAGGCATGCAACTCTCATACCAGTCAGACGATTTCGCAGCTATTGCTATGGTGGTATCAGTTTGGCGATCCGCTGTACAGTGTCCGCCATATTTATGGCAACGGATGTTTGCTTTATAAAAATAAATTGGTTTCTAGGAGACTTTTCTTTTATAATGAAGCTTATTGTTATATATTAATTCATCTATTTTATATTGCAGAAGTCTAAGTTGTCTAAATTTTCTATTACTTATGGCATTAGATAGAAATGCAATTGTAACCCCTCATGAAAAGGGCGAGAGTGATTCAGTCATTGCAAAAAGCTCCAAATTCGCCGTGAAACTGTGTGGAAGGTGGTGAAAAAATTCAAGGAAACTGGTGAAACATGCAATCGACCTGGTCAAGGAAGGAAACGAAGTGTCCGAACAAAACAATTGGTCAAAAACACGAGGGAGAAGTTGAGGAAAAACCCTCATCGCTCAGCTGCAAAATTGGCTGCAGAAGCAGGAGTCAGTCAGACATCAATGCGTAGAGTCCTCAAAGATGATCTCAAAACCTCCTCTTACAAGATGCAAACAAGGCATGAACTAACAGACCGTCATGAACGATGAGGCTCGAAAGATGCCAGCACATTCTGGATCTCATTGAGGATGGCACGCTGCCCAACTTGGTGTTCAGTAACGAGAAAAAATTTGGCATTGAATAAAGCGTTAACCGTCAAAATGACAGAGTTTGGAGTCGGGATGGATCTCGGCAACCAGAACAGCAACACGACGTCAAAATCCCATGTCCATGATGGTTTGGGCCGCGGTAACCGCAACTGTGAGGTCCCCACTCGTTCGCATCTCGCAGGCCAAAGCTTTGGCCACCAGCCCGCAAGGGCATTTGCATTTAAGTTAGAGGTCTTTACAGGACGCTACGGTGATACCGAATCGCTGCGCTGAGGTGTGTTTTTGTGCTCAAACTACATTTGCGGGAGAACCACCCGATAGATTTTCTGTTCAGATTTGTTTATCTAGTTTTCGTTCTTATTCAGATTTTTTCCCTAGTTTTCGTTATTGTTCAGATTTGTTTCTCTAGTTTTCGTTCTTGTTTCAATTCGTCCGGTTTTCTTATCATCCATTCTTATCCCACATTCTTCTAGTTTTTTTTCGTGTTCCTAGTCTGTTCTATGTTTCTTATTATGGTCCTAGTGCATTCCTCGTTTCTTCGCCGTTTCTTTTTCTAGCTTATAATTATGCTTCCTTGCCGCCATTATTCATACTCTAGCTTACTTTACCAGTTCATTTGAATATATTCGAACATAATCAGAAAGCAGAACGCCCTACGCTGCATATCAACATCAAAACAGAGTTTACCAGTTATTCTGCGGCCAGCCATAACCCGCCTATTAATGTTGACATGAGGTGCAACATATGTTGCTGTGGTAACGTGGAAGGGTGAGGGGGTGTAGGATACGAAGCCCCGCGTTGGTGGAAAACAACTTGGGAAGCCGCACGAGGGGCCGAACAACAGGCAAGCCTCTGGCCTCAACCCCGCCGTGTCGTGAGCGTTTGTTGATGCCGAGCTCATGTGTACCTCTCATATTATAACAACTGTAGCACTTATAGTGTGGTTGTATAACAACTGATGAAAGTAGAATCACGCTCATTTGTGATAATGTTTCACATTATACTGTTGTTTTATGATAACTGATGAAGGTCGAATCACGCGCATTAGTGATAATGTTTCACATTATACTGTTGTTGTATAACAACTGATGAAGGTCGAATCACGCGCATTTGTGATAATGTTTCACATTATACTGTTGTTGTATAACAACTGATGAAGGTCGAATCACTGTACACCTACACTGTACACCTACACTGTACACCTACACTGTACACCTACACTGTACACCTACACTGTACACCTACACTGTACACCTACACTGTACACCGTACAGTGACAGCAGGTGTACACTGTACAGCAAAACATGCGGCATGATAAGTCAAGAAAAACATGATCGAAGAAAATCATGCTAACACTGCACATACATGGGAAGGTGCGCGAGGGCCGTAGTTGCATACGGCTGTGATGAAATAATTTCTTTTCCCAAAACCTTTTGAACACAAATACTTCCTTCCTTCAGAACTGGTGTAGATGAACCCCTTCTTAAACTTGCCTCCGTATTCATATTATTTTAAACAGTTTTCGCAAAGCAAGGGTTGCTTTGCTTCAAGGTTGCTCACCACAGCGCTCCCTCCCTCCTTTGTATAACAACTGATGAAGGTCGAATCACGCGCATTTGTGATAATGTTTCACATTATACTGTTGTTGTATAACAACTGATGAAGGTCGAATCACTCGCATCTGTGATACTGTTTCACACTATACGTACTATTGTTGTGTAACAACTGATAATCACTCGCATTTGTGATAATGTTTCACATTATATGTACTATTGTTGTATAACAACTGATGAAGGTCGAATCACTCAAATCTGTGATACCACTTCAAGTACTAATGCTTGATGAATAGAAGTTAATGAATTGATGCATTATTGAATGTTATCTTATAAATAATTGTTAAAGTCTGAGTGTGTGTTAGAAGCCTGACACCGAGGGTAACAAAGAGGTTAATCGGGCACATATCCACGACAATAAATGTGTCGGGAGATAACTTAGGAAATTCATTTGTGCGATCTTGGCGTCGAAAAGATGAGAGGAGAATGAAATTGAAACATCTCAATATCAGTTTCACTTGATAAAAATTTTATTTAAATATAAAAAGCTACATTTTCGGTAAAATTGTAGAACGGGATTTAAATCAGAGTTTAAATCAGAACTATCCGGAAAAGTGACAGGCTGGGCCAATCTGCTGGTATTGGAATATTTTGGATCACACCACGAATACTGCTACAATGAAACCAATAATATGAAACCCCATATATTATGGTGATGTGTTATATATTATGGTTATGCGTTATATATTGTGGTGATGTGATGTATATTACGGTGATGTGTTCTATTTAGTTATATTGTTTTTTTAGAAACTTGTCTGCGTGCAGAGAATAAAAATGTTTATTTATAATAAATTGAAATAATGTTCACATGTGAACAAATTAGCGAAGTTTTCTCTATCTCGGGATCTAGAAAAATATATCAGCGAGGAGAAGGCTGTTCAAGTTTATTCTTGCTTGTGATGAATACTATGGGACAATTTGGCTCTGGCATTTGGGCGACCTTACGGGCTGTCTAAATTGATGACGGCAGCAAAAATGACACTTAAATTGAACCTGAAGTATCGCTTAAATCACTGCACCCTTTTATCGAGTTTTCTTAATATAGCTCTGTTTATTCGTGTAATTCTGTTTCTTCATATATAGTTCGATTTCTTCATATAGCTCTTATTTTCATATAGTTTTGTTTCTTTACATAGATACATATGTTTCTTCATATCGTTCTGTTTTTTATATGCGATGTAAATAGGGAATTTCACTTCATTCAATTTATTGTATAACAGAAAAATTTACTTCAATGTTAGTTGAATTGTTTGAGATTAGAAGGGATACATTTCAATGCTTCCTTTTTGTTTGGATCTAAATATATCGCATTCGCACTTTGGATAATTTTATATCGAAAACGTTGGATAATAAATAGACATGGTAATATTTTAAGTTGAAATTTCATTCATACTATTTTAGGGGAAAAGCATTTATGGCCTAGAGCTTTGATCGAGGTTGAATCCAGAATTCATTTATACGAAACAATCACTAGGAAACTAGTGAACTCTATGAACGAAGTTTAAATTTTATTTTATTCACTATTTTAAGACGCTTCCTCAACAAGACTCATATTTATTCATGTAGTTAATTTGCAACACACCTATTTTTAGCGCATTTTCTCATTTATGAAAAAAATGCACTATTGTGCTCGCCATGTCCGTCTGTCTGTCTGTCCGTCCGTGACCTCAAATTTTCGTCGACGAGAAAATGTGCTCCTGTCACTCACTGCAGTGAGTAATGAATTATGTTTTCTAGATTTGTAGATATCATTAAAATATGTCAATTGTGGTTATTAACTTATATCTGCAGGAACTTTATATGCAGATAAGAATTTGAATGTTACATCTCTATACCGTCATTTGCATACATTCCATACAACATGCGGCGAACTGTAAATGACGGGAATGTACTGGTAGAACGACAGTCTGACTACAGTAGGTACGTGAGTGACAGTCTGACTCCAGTAGGTACTTGAGTAAGTCATTATTACTGAATTCCATTCTGCAATTAATGTACTGCAGGACATTACCCTTTACATTGTCTGGTTTTAGTAACAATTGTTAAATATTTCAGTAAAATCCCAGTGTGCAAACAGGAGCATTAAATACTCGAAATATGAATTGAAAAGGATTGGAAAATAAATCAATTACATATATAATTATTCGTCAATTATCTTCGGCACGAGCTGAACTCGGTCGGTATTTGAAAAGTTGACCGACTTAAATAACTTCTGCACATTTTGCAATTTGATACATCGTTTGGGTGAACTGTGTATCAAAATTGAACTTTATATGTTCAGTATGAACCTCGTACCTGACAACATTAAACATAAGTGAAAGTAATAATTTTTTCTTAAAAAAAGAGGAAAAAGAACTGAAATATTTTCAATTAAAATAAAAATCCGAGAAAAAGTGATTCTGAACTCCAGAGATTATGACAATGGCAGCGGTACAGCGTCAGTTGCCACTATGATCTGATGGTGTGACAGTGAGTCTGACAGTGATGAGTCATAGTGAACATGATATACCGCCTCATCTCCTAAGCTGAGTGAGATTCTGCTGCGCCATGAGGCTAGAACTACTCATCGCTGTGCTGCTCTCATTGCTGGGTGAGTAACTTAGGGTGAATTTTAACTCATTATTAGTACTGTGTATTATTATTAAATGAATTAATTACTATTATTTGTTTTTGTGTATTATTAGTAAACTAATTATGAATTATATAGTATTGTGTATTATTATTTTATTAAAATTATTAATGTACTGTGTAAATTATCAAATGTGTTAACATAAACTTTGTCAAATTAGAAGAAGAATATTCTTCAGAATCAGAGTTAGTGAAGAGAAACTTTTTTGAGTTACTCTGCTTAAGATGAGATAGCTGATGAATTGCTGCGAGAGGCCAATATTTAGTAAGCGCTTGTAACCGCAGTCGAGAGGCAGAGTTAATATTGGAATTGAAATTAAATAAGATTTGTGTAATTTAAAATATTTGAATTCACGAACAACTATGTGTAGAACTCACTGATAATCAATAGTCTCTATATCATCACGTATTAGGTACGAAAGTTTAAACGAAATTTGGCTTCATTTACCCTTGTGTAGTTATGACTCAAACAATTGAAACAAATGAAGTTTTTTCAATAAGCTATGCTTAAATTCCAAGAAAAATCGTAAAAAATATAATTGAAGTGATAGTAGTAAACTGAAACATAACTTGACGTTTCAGTTAGAATAATGTATTTGGTTAGGCCTCGCGTAATTACACACTGCGTAGCATACGCCGGCGACCACACCCTACGCCGGCCCACGCTGCGTAATGTACGACGGAACAGCACGCGGCGCGTCGACAGTCCTATGATTCCATGTGAACTTTCGCAATTTCTTTCATAGGTTTACCATCAATTATTGATGTTCTGGCCGTATTTTGCAGTGTTTATGCAATATTTATTATGTATTTTAGAAAGTTTGATTGTTTGTTTATTTGAAGCACGGCACATAATTAATTATCTACGGGCAATTTGAAGGCATCTCTTTTCTTCTTCGTATCAGAATATTACATATACCTAAATATTTAATTTAGTATTGCGGTCATCATGGCATAGCAAAATTTGCCTTAATTTAATTGAGCTTAAAGTTCATTATAATTAGTTTCTTACGAATAAACAATCAGGTTAATCCGTACAATGCTATATTGATCTGCTAGTTATTATATTATAGTTTTTAATGTATTTTACCAGCTTCTATTAGAAGATGCTCCCATTTTTTTACTCAATACTTGACGGATATTTTCCTTATAATTAATGAGCAAATGACCTTCAAGAAAATTAATTGCAATTGTGCGAGCTGTTGCTGAGACATACCTGAATTTTGTTCTAAGATAAAAAAATGAGACAATTTTATGTTGGTCAGATAAAAAATCTTTGAATCGCGTTTTCTTTTATGCAATGCTGTAAAATTCAACATTAGATGTTAGATGTTTGTGCATCTTGATCCTACGTCGAACCGAATACAATCTAGCATTTGTTCCAATACCAAATCAGAACTCATTGAATGCAGTTATTTGCAGTTGAGTCACCCATAAATGGGAGATGTTTTTCTCGATCATCTCAAGAACCTCGTAATTTAAGAAAAAAATTGTTCAATACAGTTCAGTAAACGGAAACTTTCTTATGGAAGATTCTCAATCTTCTACTTCCATGAAAAGCCATGAACTTGATTATTTTCTTGTGTTATGCGGCATACATTTTTTCATTCTTTTGTACAGCTTCGCTCTTCTCTCTCTGCACTTTCACTCTCTTTGCACGTCTTCATTGTTCAGTCCTGAAAATCGATGCATCGTCTTGTCTTTTGTTTCATCCATGATATACAAATTAAATTAATGCCACGATCCACGATTTAAATCGAAGCCCCCAACACTCAGCCAAATCATATTCTTTTTTGAAGCATGATCGCCGCTAGTCTCCATGAGGCCAAAAATCGTCGAGTCTTTCAGGAAATAAACGCTCATCTGTCCATGCCGACTCCTCCCTCTGGAACCGTAAACGCTGTACCGTCTCGACGGTCCGCTGAGGGCCGCCCCAGGGTCGCCCAGCGGTAGGGGCGGCCGCCAGAAGCGTCCATTGAGCGCTGTGAAGTGGCGGATGCGATCGCTCAAGGACGCACTAACGATGTCGTGCATTCATTCGAGAGCTTCTTTGTCCAATACCGCAAATTAAGTCGGAATAAATAAGGAAATCGTTGCCTTGGGATAAGGCAGGGATGACATCGCTCAGGGCAAGATCCGAGCATAGAATGTGGCCCTGGAAGAAGATCTATACGGGATTGGGGTAGGATCTACGCTTTGGATCCGTTTATAGTTGTAAATTTTTAAGGTTTAGTTAGGATACGGGTTAAAAGATTACCTGAAATATCATTAAAATTCATTTTGGTTTTGGTTGCGATTTTCTGACTTTCTACGATAATACGCGTATAGCACCCAATGCATTCCAACGTTTTTAAGACCCTATGTATTGTAATTAAAGTAAACTTGAAAGCCAAAATTTAAGGTAGGAGATAAAACAATAGAAGAAACCGTGTAAATTGAACCTTCAAGAAAATTCTCATCAGCGTTATCACTAAAATATCGAAAGTTTTTCATCCAACGGTGATAGATAAATGGGCAAAAATGTATAAAAAGTGACACAGCACTATCGGCTGCAATTTTTAGAACGAGTCATAAAGTAAAAGCAGTAATTCGATTACGATTAACGGACCGAAATTGGGATCGATGACAGCATCTGCAGATGCCCCTGCCTACAATTCGCGGTCCTCCAATTAGACGCGGTGCTCATCTTGTGCCTTCGAGTGTACCTCTCGGGGGAGCCACAAGCTTTCTGATTATTTTTTCGGGTCACTGTGCTTTATGCCTGAGCCTTTAATGTTCAGCTCGTGAACCTTGACGGTTTCTTATATGACTGTTCAATTTTGAAGAGAAGCGTAACTCTAGTATAATAATAATATCAACGACTCTATATAGCAAAACTTGAAGGCATAATGATAATTTCAATGACTCTAGCATAGTATGAGGGCATAACGATGATATCAATGATTCTTTCAATACCTGAAGGCATGATGATTCTATCACTGATGGCGTTCATTCCAATAAAAATATTTACCAATAATAATCGAGCTCGAAAATCATAATATTAAAATAAAAGATGCCAGAGCATAGCTGAAGAAATTATTTCCAGAGACAACTCAGGAAAAATTCTTTGATAATCTGATTATGTATTTGTGCTATTGTTATTCATTGTATTATTGTTCCTGTTCTTTTTAATATTGTTTTTATTAATGCTTATTACTGTGCAATGCTCGCAAAATCATAAATATGTGGCTGATATATCAGTACTGTTTTCCATGCGAATTTGCGCCTAAAGTTGCTATAGTGAATATATTGCGCAACTCGCTGCGCTGCAGCAGATCGATGTTTAACGTTGGTTATGTTGTCTGCATCTTCTTCCGTAGCATCGATCCTTGCTGACATGTTTGCTTCACGATTAACTTCATGTTTACTCCCTGATCTAGTCATGTCAATTTCACCATTAATTTTTATGTTAAGTTTGCTTCGAAACTTTTTTTTTTATTCACGGCGAACCTTGTATCAGTTTGATATTATGTTAATTATTATATCGTAATCATGTGATTAACATTGAAACCTAATGTTCACTCGGCATGTTACAAGTTTGTTCGATGTTGAAACTGGATGTTTACCTGAAATTTATGAAGTTGAATATTTTATAATTTTAAACTTTATGTTTATCCAGCGATTTTGGCATGTTGAATATATTATGTAAAAGTGATGCCAGTTATGAGTAATACTGGATTTTGCATCGTAAATTGACAAATGATGGAATCTAAATTTGACAACGGCTGCCTCAAACCAGTCTGTCAGATGACAAGACGAAACGTAAGAACATTTTGAGATTAAACGGGTTACGTTGGTTCGTATCCTCTGATAGCTGTGGAAGTTACGTGCAACGGCTCCGTGAGGAAGAGGTTCATCAATCCGTAGACAAAACTGAAGTATATGGGACATATAATATAACAAAGCTGGGTTCCTCAAAATCAGTATGAGTATCTGGAAGTATAAAATACAGATAATATGACTCATGCAGTAAAATGGAATATTTAATCCGAAAAGGACACCCCGAAACAGGATCCTGAAACTGAAGACAGATATCTCAGCAGGCAATATCGCAGTGGTCCCTCACATGAGACCGTGACCAAGCAAGGCGGTCCCCACCGTGTCATGTTTACGGCGTGTGTAATAGCCAGATAATCACGGCCATTTATTCCCAGAGAAATCATCGCTGCATCGATTAGCGATACTCAGGCCTCGTGGTCGCCACTGTAGTTCCTACGAAGCCTCTGTACAGTCTGTAATTCAGAGGTGTTCACGCAATGAGCTGTGATTTACTAACAAACTTGCTGGTTCTTCACCTTGTTGGCCCTGACTCCATAACAAACTTGCAGGTTCTTCACGTTGTGGGTCCTGATTTTTTGACAAACTTGCAGGTTCTCTACGTCGTGGGTCCTGATTCCTTGAAAAAAACTTGCTGGTTCTTCACCTTGTTGGCCCTGATTCCATAAGAAACTTGCAGGTTCTTCACGTTGTGGGTCCTGATTTCCTGACAAACTTGCAGGTTCTTAACGTCGTGGGTCCTGATTTTTTGACAAACTTGCAGGTTTTTTACGTCGCGGGTCCAGATTTTTCGACACACTTGCAGGTTCTTCACGTCGTGGGTCCTGATTTCCTGACAAACTTGCAGGTTCTAAACGTCGTGAGTCCTGATTCTTTGACAAACTTGCAGGTTCTTAACGTCGTGGGTTCTGATTCTTTGACAAACTTGCAGGTTCTTCACGTCGTGGGTCCTGATTCTTTGACAAACTTGCAGGTTCTTCACGTCGTGGGTCCTGATTCTTTGACAAACTTGCAGGTTCTTCACATCGTGTGATTTCGTGAGCACCGTGATGAACTTGCAAGTTTTGTTCAGTGATTACATAATATCAGCAGCACGTTTTGCGTCACCGCCATCAGCCAATCACTGAAATAGGGTACAGGCAGTAT